CCCCCCCCCTTTTCCTGGTTGCTGAGATGAAAGTGAATGACAAAATGTACTCGCTTCCGAATACTCACATACAGACAGCTTCTTGTTTTTGCTGGCTGTAGCAGCACTGTGTTATAGCTTTTCACGGCAAAAACACATAAAACGCACCAAGCATGCCACTGAAGGAGGGAAATACAAATTTGACAAAAAACAAACTATCAGCTCACCAGTAATCTCATTGATCTCCGATCAGGCTCCAACTTATCCTATAACAAATGCTAACTTCCTTATTTCAGAATTTTAGCTTAAAAAGCAATAATTTGGTTTGTATTAATGGCAGTTCAGTTTCCTGAGCATCAGAAAGTGGCTCCGAGCAATTTGTCAGTTCGTTGAGGTGCCGGACGAACAGGCGATTACTTGAAGTTTGAGACACATTATCCAGGATCAACGTCCTCGAGCAGGGCATTTCTGGCAAGCCAGGTACAACCTTCCCAAATCGGTGTTGATGAATCGGCCTTTATATTTGTCGTCATATTCAATCAATGTTCGGAATGGACGAAAAAGTGGCATCATACTGAAAAAACTGAGTATTTTTAACTCATAAAGGGAGTGAAAAATTCAGTTTCAGTGTACTTTCGGAAAGAATAGGCTTATCGACTATTTACTTCTTGTTCGTTTGTGAGTAGACGCTTTTTTTTAAACATGCTTTAGATATTACAATCAGTTCGCTTCGGTTATTTCGGTCATCTACAGTTTATTACTGTTTTCAACTGTTCTCCTGCTGTCTGGCTGGCAACTTTTCCATTGCTTTGAACAATGCTATATGACATGGCGAGCCAGCATGCTCATGGCCATGGCGCCCTTTTATTTTCTAAAAGGGTTACTAACTTAACAGCTGTCTCGGCAGAAACGCTTGACAAAGCTTTAGCCGTTTCCAAATAAAGGTATTAGTTATGATACATATATAAAATAAATTATACTGTAAGGAATGTTTGGGTCCATCAAATCATCACTTGTATGTGTCTGGCATCATCTCGCCTCTAGAGCACGATGAGGCGCTTTTCCGACTAGGAGATGTACGCATGTATGCAGTCATTGAAGGATGGCGAATGTGGTGAGGAAAACAAAAAAGGCGAAATCAAGGTTTTCTGTAAATAAAACCAATGTCCTATAAATCTTATACCATAGAGTGTTTGTTAGTCAAATGAAGGCACGGCGAATTGCGTTTTGATAAAAACTGTGAAACTGAAAGTAAATATACGAAAAAAAAAGAAGCCAAAAGTGCATAAAGCTTGTAGAGTTGTGTGTGGCCCTCTGCGGACGCATAAAGTTTATTATGCTCAGTGATTTGGCACTTTGACCAGCTCTGTCAAATTGACTGCTATGGATGGCTGCTAACATTTCTGCTTTTTATGTCTTCTTGCATCATATCTACTTGACCAGACATTTCAAATGCGGAAATATGAAAGCTAAGAAGTTGAAATTTGAACGGAAGTTTTCCCAACCGTCTAGGTCTTAAAACCGAAATGAAATTTAAGTTTGCCCTATGCCATAGCTTTAATTTAGTTCATGAGTTTCGATAAATTTCGTAAACACCTTGCAAAAAGAGACACAGAATATTTGGATAAGACGTGATTTACTCGAAAATGCACTGAAAAAGGGCACAAACAAACTCAAAATCTGAGGAGGTAAATGTTGACCTTACAAAAATCCTGAAACCACATCACATTTCTTTCCTTCTGCCGTCCTTAACTTTAGGCCTTAATTTGTGCCTTCGCTTCCCTTCACCTCCTCGAAACTCAGAACACGAAATTTTTCGGATTAATTTGTAATTTTTGACAAATTTACTAAGTCCATTACTCTTATTCGGAGATCCGGTAATTATGAGCTATTCCAGACAGTATAGAAGAGTCGTTATCCAGAAATTTTTTAGTTTTTAGATGATGCTCGTATAGTGATTTGCCACATCTCCTTTATTTCTCTATCATTTCGTTAGCCGTTCCCTCTCCTATGTTTATTCGTAATCAACGCTTTTTATCAATCACTCAGGAATGATAGCATGCGTCAAGCTATCCTGCCGTTCCTGACACCAAATTAACACTTAGTTTCCGTCTTGCCATTACTTTCACCTTACTTTGATGATTTTCTTCACATATCTTTTGTTATATCACTGATTATCTGTATTTACATCAATCTGAAATTAATCCCATGCCTTTTTCCACTTTTCACTGACTGACGATTTCAGTTATCATCTCCGGAAAGATGTTATGCTATTATCAGCAGTGGACGACTTTCTAGTTTCGTCTCATCACTGGTGTACATATTTATAATAGCTTTGAGGATATGTAGAGAATATCCGCACTTATCTAAACTAGAAACACGGTATTTATTCAGTCCCTTTATCCTCGTTCTGCTTTTTAATTTCAAGAAAATTTCCCAGTGATAAATTTAGTCAACAAACAATGCGCAGAACAAAAGTCATGCAATCTAGAAAATTATAAATTAATTAAAAAAACTATGTATTTTGAAAATTCTTTTTTATTTTTCGGCCCCACAAATGCGATCTGCGACATTTTATTTCATCTTTCAAATAATATGCGCAAATAAAGTGAAATGTCACAGAAAGACCTGTCATCCGGCTAGAAAGGTAAAAATTAGAACCAAGCCCTTTTTTAGTCGAGATTCTTTATCAAAAGGTGTATGAGTACGACAGAAGTCCTAGTGAAGATCTTTGGCAATTCGCACTAAAAAACAGCTTGCATCATAAAAACTCGCTTTCATTTGGTCATTAGCAATTTAATGATAGCTATTTATTCATACTGAAATCATCAAATATGAAATAAAAATAAATAAAATAAGATGGAAAAAGTTTCAAATGCTGGCCGAACTGGACAGCTGCACTTTCTTCTGGACTATGCTTCGGAAGTAGTCTTTCTCTGGCACTCACCTGAGGCGTTATTAGCTCTGCACTATGCATGCGGAACAACTACGCACTTCCGGAAAAATGGAGAAAATCATACTTCTCAACCAGTGCATCGTGGGCTCTTCGGCGAGCTTCTTGCTCGGGAAACAAATTCGATTCCAACTGGTTGATAAACTGCTCTTGCGCTGATTCACTTTCGCTTTGTGGCTGTGTTTCCTGCGGTGCAGCAGCAGGGAAGAGGCCAAATGACTCCTGAGCAAATGTATTAGCACCGAACAAAGAAATTAAATATAAAGTACGGAGAAGACTTACGCCTGGACAGCAGGACATCGGGAAAGATAAGGATGATGATGTTTCATATAGTTATTGTTAAGTTTATTGTTCTGGGTGGGAGAACGCAAAGAAATGAGAATTGTGATGAACCGGTCGTTCAATCACTGGTTATGAATTGCACCTAAATGAATCCCAAGATAATCACTACCGTGCTGACTCCACGAAAATTCCCAGTTTAATTAATATGTTATAAACGAATAGTGTCTTGCACCAGACAAGCCGATGCAATCGTGCGTTTTTTGCACAATTTTTCACACTGGTGTTTGCTGCTAAGTAGGATTGTTTTCTTGGCAAACACTCCAGGTAAACAAATAGAAATACGTTTCAAATTCGGATTCATTATTACGCATTTAGTACAGGAACAGCTGCACAAGACGTGCACTTGTATGTGTGTGTGTGTGTTTGTGTCCGTGTACGTTTTGTGTTGCATTTCCAACTCAGGATCCTGTAAAGCTAGGAGACTGAAATTTTAGAGGAATGTCCCAAGTCCACTTTTAACTACGCCTAGGCCCTGCGCATCGCCATGTAAACATTTTAACAGGAACTACTGCTATTTCAGGAGCAGCAAAAGCCAGGAAAAGTATTCGTTTGCAAAACCACTCATCGACAAGTCACCCTGGTGTTGTAGAGTGAGCAAAAGATGGCGCGCAGGATAAGCAAAGAGCAATTCAGAATCGCGCAGCAAATTGACCTGTGATCTCTCTCGCGCTTTGTGATGAATAATTAAGCCTGTAAATCTGTTGTAAAGTATTCAGTGTGTTTCGTGCCCAGCGCTCCGTGATTGGCGTCCAGCGGTCCGCTGCAGCAGTGTGTTGCTGCATTCCAGTTATCAGCACTCTTCGTCTGCAGCGGCTGTAGGTGCAAGCGTCGGACTTGATCCCGTCGCCCCAACGACTCAATTGTAAACTGTATTGGTGTTGATAAATTTCGTTTATTTACTCCAGTCTCTCCACTAAGAGCCACAGCACATCAGCTTTCATCCAATTCTCGTCCAAAGCTCGTCGTAACAGCATCGTAACGTCTTCGTCGTCGTAGCAGTGTTCTTGTCAGCGAATGGGTGCATTTGACACGTGCTACCACTTGGGCTGCTTTGGAGTCCCCCTTCTCGCCTCCGGTTTTCAAAAAGAGTGAACTACAGAGAGGGTTTTTGATTTTTGATAAATGAATTGTGTAATATATGAATAGCTTTAACTGTAAATAGTATTCGTAATTCAATGGTTTTGAACTGTCTTTAAATTAAGAAAACTGTTTATTATTAAAGCTATTGTTAGGAATTGTTCCAGCAATGTCACCAAAAATTTGTGGTCAAATTAATACCTAGATCATGAATTAGTACCTAGTTTATTCCTAGATCATGATAAAATTGAATTCCATCGAATTCTTATAGACATGGCACTCCAGCGCAGTGATCTTGAAATTCCATCAAATTTGAATATTTGTAAAGTTTATACCTGGGCTGGAACCACTGGCTTGGTCATATTTTTGTTAAAAGTAACTACACGAAGACTTGCTTTATTCTGAAGAATTTCAAATCCGCTAGCAATCGGTACTTCCTGCACGTGCTTTTCTACACTTTGTTGAAAATCAAATTTATAGCAATGGATCATGTAGCGATATGAAAAAATTTTTTGCTCCGCAACGCGAAATTTTATTTGCGTTTTCAAGCAGTTCATTATTACGTTACATTATATCTTTTTCAGGCGGCTGCGCAGTCTTATTGATAAAACGCAACAAAGCAGAAGAGTTTCTGCAACGTTTTTGTTATAATATAATTGTTTGGTACTTTGATCAGCTTCTATTTCATCTTCGTCAATGTAACTGACAATTCTTCCATCATCCTTTGTTTTGGGTCTCTAGTATCCACACAGTTTCATACAACGGTTGAAGCATATTCTTGCACAACATCAGCACTGACTTTCCCTGTGTTCTTTTAACATTGACCACTTTTCTTATTAGGTTGTAAGCAAAATTTTGAAATGATGATTTCCGCGAGCATATTTTTTTGCAGTGTTTGAGATAATACTCCGGCCTTCAAGCCGGCCAAGATTCTTTCCTTTCATGAGCAAAGAATTCAGGAAAAGAGCGAAACGGAACAGACGCTGTGCTTTCCAGTAGCATTTTTTCAAACAAAACAGGTAGTTACGCCAAGTAAAAAAAAGCCGCTGGACTACTCAAATCAGAAACACAAAATTAGCTGTATAAAAGGTAACGGACCAATAGGCATTGAAGGAGAAAACTAATCTGTTTTTTCCTCTTAGCATTGTACATACATCTGGAATAGCCAAATGAAGAAGGCCTTTAATGAAATAAAATATGTCAGCAGAAATAAGTAGCAACTACTACAGTTAACTCCTTCTGTGGCACTTCTTTTCAACCAAGAAAAATAGCAATATCGGCAGATGAGCAGATTTTAGCAACTATGAATATTGTTAGTGGTTCTTGATTTCACACCTCAAATTTAGGATATTAACTCTTTCTTGAATTGAAAAGTGACGCGAGATGCACTAAAATTTTAAAATTTCGGCAAGTTAAATAATTTCAGCAAGCAATATTTTAAAGTCTCGTATATTCGCTACACCTCGTTCTCTGCTTGCAAACGCAAAATCCATGAGATTCAAAAGTTGAAGAAATGGAGGTGGTAAGTGAATTCTATCAATTCATGTGCGGGCACAACGAAAAACAAATTCATGTCGGAGCTGGTGGTGTCCGAAAATCCCAATTGGCCATCACGATTGATATGTTTTATTCACTTAGAACACAGCAAGAACAAGAAAAAAAAGCCTTAAAAGGTCATCCAGCAATTCACATCCAATCCCAATTCTTGCTTTGTCACTTTTGCACTGACTCGAATAAGTCGTCTCGGACTGTTTCAGACTTTTAACACATACCTTTTGAAGTGCACCTTGAAATTCCAGGATTTTATTTTCGATTTTTTTATTCGTAAGCTTATTTTTTGTTTCAATTTTCAAATCTTTCACCGAATTTAACCAGTAGTTCTTGTGACTGGATTTTTAATGGATTTTGTAATATTATTATTATCATTTTCATGTGATAGATTATGTTAATACCATTTTCATCATTTTCACATGGTACGTTTTATGATCGCTGATAAGCATGAAACAATGAGAAGTAGCACTGCTGCCATACAAGAGTTCAGGTGTTTAACTTTTTATGATTCATTCATTCGTTTCGGAAAATAATTAATATCAACATGCAGCAGGAAGGCAGCTTTTCTGGAAAGAAGTAGCCACGGCAGCCTTGCAAAAAATGGCTTTTTTTGTATTCGGGTTACTCCCATATGCTTTCGCTTCTCACAGAAAGCGAAAACGGAAAGAATTTTAATTAGTTACCAATAAATGTTCATTTACCCTAATCGGTTTTGCAGAACAGAAAATCTATTTGCTCTGTTATTATAAGCCAAAAATCAAAAACTGACTGTTTTGACATATTTAGGCTCAGGATGCAATGCAGTTAAGGCTAGCAAAAAACCAATCACTTTTTTTTGCGAAATCAAAATCACATGTAATTTCAATCTCAGGTGATTTACTTAAAGTCATTCGAATGGTTATACTTGCTAACTCTATCATCGCAAAAGTACCGTAAAAACCGGCAAAAAATTTGCACGTTTTGTGTCTGGATATGAAGAGAACTGGTTCGACTCCGTTTCAATTCCATAATCATTTGCAAAAAGAGATTCTGTCTGCAATAATTCTCAAGATATCTTTTATAAATCAGAAGCTCACGCAAGAAATACTAGCTATTAGTATGCCAGAGTTATTCTCTGAGCACTTCAAGTATCATTCGCCTTCAATAAATTTGTCATTTTCTTACCTAATGCGATAAAATAAATTAATTTTTCGTTCTGAATCATCCATCAAGCTTAGGGGGCATTAAAAAAACATATTTCAAATCAGCAACAACGAACGTAACCGATGACAGAGTATAGGGCTCCAGAGTACAACAAAGGAGACAGCACATGAAGGAGAGATCACATACCTGGATATTCCTGGCATTGCTGGTGTCGCGATTAAAACCGCCATATGGAGTGTTCAAACATTTGCAGTATTCATTCGTAATAAACCCAGGCTGGAACGCACCGAGAGGGCCCGTGCGATCATGCGTTTTTGCATCGGACTTCAGTTACTCAGGTCATCAACTGAATGAATGGCTGTTGCTTTACACCTACCTTTTGAGGTCATTAGCATAAATCACCATAAACTTTGCAAAGTAAATGTACAATTTCAATTTAACAGTCGTTCTTTAAAAGTAGCCTAGTTGTTCAGTAAGAAATTTTTTCGTCAAAATTTTAAGTGCCCTTACGGAAGAACCATGCATATCTCAAGGCTGAATTTGAAATACTTAAGTTGTACTTGGCCAGAGAACATCCCCTCAAAATTTCAGCTTTCCACATTTTCCGGTTATTGAGTTAGTAATTTTCCTGTCAAAACCTTCACATGCATGTACTTGGATGCTCCACACGCTTGGAAAGCTGAATTTGAAATTTTTAAATTGCACGCGAACAGGGAACACACCCCTAAAATTTCAGCCTAACAGCTCTTCTCGTTGCCGAGTTAGTAATTTTTCTGCAGAAACTTTCATAAGCCTTTACATGAGTACCATGCATAACCTGGGGCTGAATTTGAAATCTTTAGCTAGTACATGCACAGGGAATATCCCTACAAAGTTTCAGTCCCT